GGGTGGCCCAGCCGAGGTGGCCGCTGCGCCCGCCGCGGCCTCCGCGCCTGGCTCCCCTCCTATTCCTCTCTGCTTCTCCTCTTTACCCCACCCTTCCTCCCGGGTCTACTCCCTCCAGCCCTCCTCTCTCTCTCCCTCTCTCCACCTCCTACCCGCCCTTTTCCCTTCCCTTCGATGGTCTCCACCCCCACTCGCTCCTCCCGGCTTCCTGCCATCTCTCTTTCCGTCCGGCTCTCCACCCCGGCGCCCCCCTTTCCCCTCCGCGCCAGTCTCCCGGCTCAGATTCCTGCATCCCCGGGACAGGGCGGAGCGCCCGGCACCCCCTAGCTCATCTCGGCCCTTCCGCCCTGCCCTCCCGCGCTACTGGGCCAAGTTCGCCACATCTGGGGCCGCCCCATCCGTTCTGCCTCGGGGCTCTGGCCCAGCCTCCAAAGGGAAGGTTGTTTAGCAAGATTCTCCCAGCCTCTGGGTAGGCCACTTTCACCCTTTCTCCTGTCGTAGACCCCACTGAGACCTCCTGGCCCTGCATAGGCACCGAAGAGCCGTGTTGGAACTCAACATTCTTACCTGAACGTATCCTACCCCTGCCCACTGCAAAGTCGTCCTGTCCAAAGCTGGGCTCCGGCTGTTTCTCCATAGAGTTCACAGAAGGGAACCATCTTCCTCCAGATGCCCCACTACACACCACCCGCAAAGCACAAAGCATGTAACCCTGCTCCCTTTCATCCAACCGCTCCTTGGCCATCTTCTCACCTTGTCTGGAATCAAAATATACCACCCAGCATTACCCAGACATAAACTCAGGTCCTAGAGACAACACAGGCCTTGTGTGTAACTCCTCCTCCAAACTGCCTGTAACGGGGCCCTATGAGGCTGTGCGTTATTGTTACTGCTGTGCTAATGTTTTACCTGAGTTTTCATTTAAAACTGGAAACACTCCAAGAGATATAAACAACTATTTCTCTCAGTTTACTGATAGCAAAACAAAGCCTGGAGGGGTTCACACCAGGACATTGGTGATTACTGCTGGTCTCTCCCACTTCAGACCAACCTTTGGGCTATTAAGCAACTTTCTAAAACAGACCTTGTTCATTACACTGCTTTCCACACTAACCACAGCATTGAGTTGTATCTCTTCTCTATGAAGCATTTCACAATCTGTCCCCAGTCAACTTCCAACTTCCTGATAGTTCTCTTCCTTCCCATACCCATGCTCCCACCTAAAATGTTGACCCCACCAGCCCTCTTATTCCCCAAACTTAGAATGCTCTTCATTCCCAGAGCTCACTTGGAAAACTCCTACTTATCCTTCAATGCCCATGTTAAATGCTGCCAGCTTTGGGTTTAACCTCCCAGGCTATTGATTACTTGCTCTTCTACCTCCTTTTGGACCATCCCTCCACCGTAGTATTGAGTCTGCTACATCATAAGCATTGGTTATCATGTCTTATTCATCTCTGCCTGGTCCTGGCATAGAGGAGAGACTCCAGTAAATACACGTGGAGTCCATGGCTGAATGACTGCAGGAACAGCAGTGAAACTGAGAAGGCCCCTCTTACCCTGGGAACCATGCCTACATCAGACGTCCAGCTGATCCTATACTGCAGAACTAGTCCTTTATATCCTGGTCCTGAGATGAATCCAATGCCCTCTGGCCTGGCTGAGCAGTTCCCTCTTCCAGCAGCCTGGATCCTTTCTAGGGGAAAAAGAATCGCTTCTCAGGGGGCTAATGCCTGTCATTACCGACTCAGCCTACTCATGTAGGAATGTGAGAAAGCTCTGCATGCGTATCTTAAATGAACAAATGGTGACATTTAACATCCATATCTATGTAAGCCAGCATGGCGATGTGGCTCAGGGTACAGACCCCGGCGTCAGACTACTTGGCTATGTATCATTGCTTCATTATTCTCAAGTGCAGGAACCTGGAGGTGGGGGGGGGGCTGCTTAACCTCTTTGTGCCTTTCCTTATCTGTTTCATTTTTTGCCTCAACTAGTAGATATTAAACACTTATTCAGTGCTGGGCCCTGTTTAAGAGGCTGAGGATACAGAATATATGTGTGATTTTTTATCAATTGAATGTTTACTGCATATGCTCGGTACCATGACAAGCATTTTATTTTCATGGTTCAATTTGATCCTTACACCAACCCTTTAAAATGGTTGTTATTAGCTCTCAATTGCTGATGGGGAAAGCAGGACTTAGGGAGCTGAAGAAGTTCAGAGTTGGGGGTGACAGTTGAAGCAGGAGCTTAGGTAGAGCTGATTCCATATCCACATTCCAAGTACTTTTACATACTTCCCACACTGTTTTCTCAGCTATTCTCACAAAGACCCAGAGAATGTTTAGTGATTTGCCCGAAGGAACGTGACTTGTAAGTGGCAGGGTTGGAACTCAAACCTAGGTCTTCCAACTCAATTTTAGGGTTTCTCCCTCAGCATGCCTTAACATCCACAAGAAGGACATCCTCAGTGCTCTCTGAACGCCCATCCTAACCTAGTCTGAGGCTCAGATGGGCAAATAGCAACTGAATCTGGGTGCTGGATTTCTCTGAGCAGAACGACCTAAAGGAACAGGGGGCCAAAAAGGAGGGAAGAGGGAATACCTTTCTAAAAAAGGCATCTGGAGCTGTTCGAGTCAGGGCGCCACCTGGTGGGCATAAACTTTCAGCCTCAGGAGTCAAATCCGGCTCCTTACAAGGAAGAACCCTGCAGTGGCTTTAGGGTGATATTTTTAGCCTTTCTAATCCTGAAAACATTCCAAGAGGCAGTGGAGCAGACTCTCTGGAAAAGCATAACCATGAAGAAGGATCTTGATTCCATCCAGCTTAACAAATCTGGTCTAAGCACCTGCTAGATGCAGACCCCTGGATGTGGAATGCAGGAACAAAGAGGACTGACTAGCCTGCCTGCAAGTGTTGGTACTTTGCTGGAAGCAGAAGGACTGTTGTGGACACAAAAATGACATAGATGAGGATTATAAGGAGAATACAAAAGGGAATGAGAGAGAACTATAAGGGGAGGCCTGGGGACTCTTCAAGTATAAGGTCATTGGAGGTAAGGCAAGTACTTGTGGGAGATAGCATTGTTGAAAGTGGCAATCCCCATGGGTCTTGAGTTCCATCTGTTAGTTCTGGGGATGCCAAGAATGCAAGGCCATGATTTCTGCTCAATCATTCCTTAGGGTTGTGTTTGCAACCTTGAGAGATGAGGGAATGTCTTCCCCCCAAAGAGTTTACATCAGGAATGGTGATGTTGGAAGCTATGGAGGTTCCCCAAATTCAGTACTTCTCAGTCAAGTCCCAATGCATGTGTGATGTCCATCTGGGCCTCTCTATGTTGCCTTGTGAAGGCTGAGGACAAGGGGAAAAGACATAATTATGATGCTCTTATTGTTTTGCCTCTGAGTCAGGAGTCTCATGTCTATGAAATAGCACCAGACCAGCTTATTTGTCAGTGGGGTGAAATCGCAGACCCTGACAGGTGTTCTAGGCTGAGGAAACCTTGCAAGCAAAAGCAGAGCCCAGACTGCTCAAGGGACAAGATGTAGTATTGCTTAGTTTATTCTCTAAAGCCCCGGTGCAATGATTCTAATATGGCCAGAAAGGAAGGCAAGCAATTGACAGTAAGGAGGAGCGTGTTGCCCATCCTGAGATCTGATGATTAGCACTTGCTAATCAGAGTGACATTCTGTTCTGTCTTTAGTCTCTGGGTTGCTGTAAAAAGTATTGCATTTATGGATTCAACACACATTTGTTTAATACTTATTATGTGTCAGGCCCCAGGCTGGTACTTGCCACAAGTCAGCTAATAGTAGAGGCAAAATATGTACCAATAAAGCAGATGGGTACCGGCACCTGCAGAATCCTGCCTTGACTCTTAAAACTTAATTACCAGATAAACATTCCCTGGACAGGTGTTGAGGCACACCTGTAATCCCAGTGATTTGAGAGCTGAGGCAGGAGATTTGCGAGTTAGAGATCAATCTGGGCAATTTAGTGAGACCCTATCTCAAATAAAAACTTAAAATGGCTGGGGATGTAGCTCAATGGTAGAGCACCCTTGGGTTCCATGCCCAGTAGTAGGAAAAAAAAAAAAAGATGTGATATGGAACTTTCTCCCAACATTGATTTTCTTTTTCTGCTGCCAAGAAATCTCCCTTGAATCTAGACAGAGTGGAACATTGTTGCCATGATTCAAATAGATCAAGGGTCACAGAAGCCACTAGAGATTCAAGAGAACCTTAGCCCAAGTAGCCAAGAGCATGGCATTCAGGGACCAAAAGAAGTAGCAGGAATCTTCGGTGGAACTGCACCACTTTGCCAGGCTCATCTCCCTATGGTGGCCTTCTCCCTCCCTGCACTGCTTGGCCCCTGTTGGAGAAGCAGTTCTAGATGGGCAGGTTTATACTCTAAGGCCCAGCTGCCACGTCCCCCACTCCACTTCCCACCAAAGCTGGGCCTTTGGAAACCTTTTCCTGGAATTTAGCTAAACCTTTTCCTGGAAACTTTTTCCTGGAATTTAGTTCCCCAGAGGAACTAGTTTTGCTAAAGCAGCCAAAGCCAGTGCATAAGGCAAATCTGTGGGGAGTAGAAGTTCTGAACAGAGGAAGCTAGTGTGAAAAGAACGATGTATTCATCAGTGTTCTCTAGAGAAACCGAGCCAGAGGATGGAGGGAGAGGGAAGGGGAGAAGAAGGAAAAGACAGAGGTCATAAGAAATCAGCTCACACAATTATGGAGACTAATAAGCCCCAAGATCTGCAGTGGGCAAGCTGGAGCCCCAGGA